CTTGAATGAAAAATGTAAATATCGGTGTGTCAGACTGCGGCTTCCATATATTCGGGTATGTTTATTACGTTATATCATTTGTGAAACATCATTTCTGTAAAAGAGTGAAAAACACTTCTAAGTGCAAATAAAGTGAGAAAGACCGTCTCAGACACCAACCGGGACCATGCTTTCACGTTTATAAACCACAAAGGTAATTAAAAGACACTTGGGCAGCAGGTTTAGAATAATCTAAGCTACCTTCATTGCCAACAGACGATACGGACTTATAAGCAATCAATACATAGACCATAACTTATAGTCTAGTGAAATTAAATCCAGTTCGGGACCGTTTAGTTTGGCAGAGGCTGCGAAAACCCTGCTCGCGATCCTTATAACGTTTATAGGAATCCGAGGTGTTATTTAGAACGGCTTAAAGATCCGCATGTATTGGGCATTCGCAGGGTTGGATGTGTATATGGATGATAAGAAACTGCCGTAGGTGTTTGATTAGTATTCCCTGAAAACGATCTATATATGTGTTGAATAAAGCAGTAGACAGTCGCTGCTAAAACAGTGCGACACCATCAAAGACAACAGAGGCACTTGGACACTTTATACATTGTCTATCAACTGAGTTCTGCCTTTACCCCCTCAACCTGGCACCACTGCCCACTTGAAAGCGTTCAAGAAGGGGTTAGCTCAAAACCCAAGTCAACACCGGCCGTCAAAGCCTAAGAGAGGCTTTTCTGAGGCCTCCTAGATTCGTTTGCTGTTTCGGGATCAAGCTGTCTCATATCATCATACGTGAAATCGTCGAGGTCCACTTGATCAGATATAATCAACCCAAATATTTAACTATCAGGCATATGCGAATGATAAAAAGTAAACCAAATTGCGTGTGTTCGGTCTGGAAATATTGAATACGAATTTGTTCCCTTCGGAAACCGCCTTGTTCTGTACACAGCTCCCTAACTTTACCAACTGGATTGACCATTCCAAGGTAGGGCAATATGTTTGTGTGAAGAACGTGACGGTCTCGTTGGCGTCCGAAAACATAAAAGCAGGGACAAGATTTAAGTACTGCGTACTGAGTTGCGAAGTCGTCGTTAGTTTAACCATACAAAGGTCAAATTATCCGCCCAGCTTACGGCAATCTAAGTTAGCTGATTAACCAAGCAGGCTTGCCTAAGAAACCCGTCTAGAATCCGTCAGATGAATTCCAGACTCCCATAAATATGCACCGACGGCCGCTTCTCAAACGTGATTTCA